ATTAGCCCAACTATGTATAGAACGAAATTGGTGTCTTATCAGGCACAATAATATTGACGTAAACCATTTAAATATCTACGGACTGCACTTAAATAAGCAGGGTACATCAGTCTTAGCAAAAAGCATAAAGCAATTTCTTAATAGGAATTGACTAGGTAACGACAATAATAATGACATAAGACACAGCGATAATAATATAGTCGACAAATATAATTCCGATAGTCCAGCACGCTGCACCTCGAAAAGCCCAAAAATTCCTTTCCAAATTAATAAGTCTTATCCAAAACTAAAGGGTTTTAAAATTGGCCACTTAAACATTACTAGTTTGCCGAAACACATGGATGAGCTTAAATTATTCATGAAGGAAATATCATTCGACATTCTTTGCATAAACGAAACTAGATTAGACAATACAATTAACGACAATATTATTAAGATACCAGGTTATGATATTGTAAGACGAGACCAAGATCGAAATGGTGGCGGTGTAGCAATTTATATAAGAAGTATCATTAGTTATAAAAACCATATCGAATTCATTCCAGACAACTTAGAATCTATTTGTCTTGAATTTCAAAAACCTAAGTCAAAACCACTCTTAATTGTTACATGGTATCGTCCACCAAATTCTAACACTAGCATATTAAACGACTTCGAAACGTTACTGCGAAAACTAGATGATACAAATATTGATATTATTATCACTGGCGACCTAAATTGCGATATGATGGCAAACAGTCCCACTCATCATACAAAGAGGTTATCCGATCTGATAAATGAGTTTCAGCTAAAGCAACACATTACAAGTCCGACTAGAATAACGACAACATCTAAAACATTAATTGACATAATAATGACTAAAGCAAGCGATACCAAAATTATAGACTCTGGAGTGATACATTTAGGACTGAGTGATCACAGTTTAGTGTACATTTGCCGCGAAGTAGGAATACCTAGGGCTGAACCAAAAATTGTAGAAACAAGGCAGTTTATATACTTTAATTCATCTGCATTTCAATACGACTTAAAAATGGCATTTCAAAGACACAACAACCTCTATAATTATGCCGACTCAAATCATGCGTGGGAGGTATGGAAAACTATTTTTCTTGATATTGCAAATATGCATGCTCCACTTCGGATTCGGAAAGTCAAAAGTGAGCACTGTCCTTGGATGACAAACGAAATAAAAAACCTTGCGCATCATAAATTCTACTTGAAACAAAAAGCGCTCAAATTTAACTCTTCTAATTACCACGAAGCTTATAAACGTTGTAGAAATGAACTTAACAAAAGAATTGAATCAAAGCAACTAAGGTTCATTTTTACAACACGTACTAAACTACAAAACAGTAAAAATAGTAAAGAAGGTTGGAATACATTAAATAATCTACTTGATAGGAAATCCAAAACCACAATTGTTAATGAACTTAGCGTAGACCATGGAAAAAATGTAACACAAGATAAAGCCATAGTCGACGAGTTTAATAAATTCTTCACTTCTATAGGTCCCAAATTAGCAAATAACATTGCGGACAATGGCTGTAGTCCTGATCCTTTGTCATATTTAGACCAAGTCACAAATGTATTTCACTTTCATAGCATATCAAGCTATGAGCTGAAAAGAGAAATACAAAATATGCAAATGGCAAAATCTACAGGTCTAGATAAGATCTCAACTAAGCTAATAAAACAGGCAGGCGATACAATAACTGAATCACTTCTAGAAGTGTTTAACATATCTCTTAGGACAGGAATATTTCCAGATGATTGGAAATTTGCCAAAGTGACTCCAATATATAAGGCAGAAAACAAAACCTTATGTGAAAACTATAGACCGATATCAGTCATTTCGAATATCGCCAAAATATTTGAGAAATTAGTCTGTAGACAACTAAATACCTTCCTGGATAACAACAACATAATTGTAAAAAATCAATCAGGTTTCCGTCGCAATCACTCAACCGAAACCTCGTTACTACAATCTACTGAAATGTGGTTGAAATCAATGGACCAGGGTCAAATAAATGGGCTTATTTTCTTAGACCTGAAAAAAGCATTTGATACGATTGATCACCAGATTCTATTGTCAAAACTACAAGCTTATGGGATACGCGACCACACGCTCAAACGGTTCCAATCGTATTTAGATCAAAGAAAGCAAATTTGCATGCTAAATGACTGTAAATCTGATATTGAAACAATTCGTATAACATCACATTCATTTCGATCGGACCGCAGAATTACTGCTACAAGGCCAGTACCAACAAGATCGAGGCGAAGATACGAAGGATTACCTTGAAATGTACCGCCATGCAGAAATTGAATTCTGATGTCATTCCTTCGCTCGTGTATATTCATGCCAAATGTAATGTTACAGAGCAAGTTACCGTGGATATACCGTTAAAAATAACTCGGAACACAAAAACATTGAAAGAAAACGCATTAGATAAACTACAGAATAGTTTATGATAAACGCTTTATTGTAGATGATTACAAAACATTACCTTACGGGTTCTAATAACAGTTGAAATAAATATTTTTACGAGATCGTTTGATCTCAATGTTAATTTCTAAATTCTAATGTTCAGTTTGTGATAATAATCCAAGTTCACCCCCGTTTCTTTTTCCAATGCCCCGACCTGCCTTTCGTTTTTTTCTAGCCATGCCAAAAATCATAATTTCTTTCGCGTTCATATGGTAGATAAAGGTGCTTCCCTGCGGGCCCCGCGGTACGGTTATACCCGTTAACGTTTCCAGTATGATTTGCGTCAATATAATGGAGTGCAACGTCGGATTGTCAATGAGCGTTGCTGGTATCATATTCTTCTCTTTCAAAAGTCTGATCAAATCCAAAGTTACCAAATTTCCCTTTTGCATTATGAATTTCTCGGAGAGCCAGTGAGTGATGATGTTTCTCCAAGTCATGTTTGCATCGACAGGTACAGAGTTTTTATAGCATTTCAGATTGTTACATTTTTTTCAATCCCAATAGGAGAGAAAGTCCACCACGCTTTTATATTCGGAAAACCCTGGCGTTTTGTATTAGATCCTTCAAGAAATCGAGAGTTGCTTGATGATTTTGTTTTAAGTTTTTAAAATGTTTTGTCAGGTCTTTTCGGTATTGTAAGTCCATAGAAAGAAGTGCGGAAAACAAGTGATCCCAATCAGGGCGGTATAAAACACGAGCGGGGAAACGCGGTAATAAATGACCGTGCTACGTGTGAGATATTGTTTATTAATAGACATTTATAAATAGGACATTACGCACGCGTCATAGGGGCGTGGACTATAAGACAATAGGTTGTTGTTTTGGGGATTTTTACGTTGAAGAATCGAACTAATGAACTAGAGTCTAGATTCGAATTGATATTAATGAGAAAGTCTTACTACTACGGAATATAATACATCTAATTGAGCAGTCTAAAATATATTACATGGTCCTTCAGAGCTGGATTAAATTGAGGATAAAATGAGTAATATCAAGAAGAAAATAAAGATACGACAGGGTCATAGAGTTTATCTTACGAAGATTCTGGGCAATGCCGATGATATTGTTGAAAACTACGATGGAAATCAAGAAAAGAAACTAAAGCAAATCAGGATCACTCTAAAAGAACGATTGGACACTTTAAAGACCCTTGACGAAGAGATTCTAGAGCTTATCGAAGCTGACGAGGAAATATCTACTGAGATCGAAGAAGCAGGAAAATATCGCGAGAGTGTTCACGAAATGATTGTAAATATCGACAGCGTGCTCGAGGCCAAACCGATGAATGAAACTGTGTCTATGAGTATGAACGATTCACAGCAACTATCTACACCAGGACATTATCAATCGACAATAAAACATGCAAAGTTGCCAAAATTTACTCTAAAACAATTTGATGGACAGCCATGCGAATGGCAAGCATTTTGGGACAGTTTTAAGTGCGCAATACATGAGAATCCGGGGTTATCCGACGTGGATAAATTCAATTACTTAAAAAGTTTACTGGAAAAGTCTGCAGCAGCCACGATCGAGGGTTTATCGTTGACAGAGAGTAACTATGAAACTGCGATTGAACTATTACAGCAAAGATTCGGAGACAAGCAAGTTGTCATTAGTAGCCATATGGATAGTTTATTAAAACTCCCACAATTACGTTCATCTACCGATACTAAAGGTTTACGGCGTCTTTATGATCAAATCGAAGCACACGTGAGAGGGCTAAAATCGTTAGACGTGCCAGACACGGAATACGGAGCGTTGTTATTACCGATTTTAATCGGCAAAATACCCGACGAAATACGCATTTTACTCGGTCGCAAAATCACAGGCGAATCATGGAATTTGAATACGTTACTTGAGAATTTTCGCGAGGAATTGGAAAACCGGGAGAGATGCGAAGGAATTCAAGCTTTATCCTTTAGAGACGGTCGAAATTTCGACGAACAACGAGGAGGGAGAAAATATTCGAACACGCCATTTACGGCGGCAGCGCTAATGACGGGTAAGACAACTATTAACTGTTCGTTTTGTCAAAAAGAACATACGTCAGCTAGTTGTTTTGTTGTTACGGATATCGAAGCAAGAAAACAGATCTGACGAAAGCAAGGACGATGTTTTTTGTGTCTCAAACGAAATCATATTGCTCGGGATTGCGAATCAAGGTATATGTGCAAATATTGCTCGGGAAAGCATCATGTTAGTCTGTGTAATAATAATTCGAGACAGTCCTTAGCAACGAGACAAGAATCAAATTCCAGACAGCAATTAGGAAATGTACAAGATAGTCTAGCCATAGCTAAAGAACAAACAACACAATCAAGGGACACGAAAGACACAGGAAACACGAAAGAGACCAGAAATTATCACGCATGTTTACAAGATTCAGTCTTATTACAAACAGCCAAGGCGAAAGTTGGCGTTGGAAACAAGAAGTTGACCACTGAGGTAAGAGTTATTTTTGATTCGGGCAGCCAGAGAAGTTATTTAACCCAACGAGTGCGAAATAAGTTGCAATTGCCCACAGGAAGTACAGAATCTTTACGAATAAAAACATTCGGAGAATGCGAAACTGAACTAACTGCTTCTTGTGAGACAGTGAACTTAGCAGTTGGGGACATTACTGGTAGAACTAGAACACAAGTAGAAGCATTTGTCGTGCCAGTGATTTGTGCACCGCTAGGAAATCAAGAAATTGACCGAGCCCAAGTAGAGTACAAACATTTGAGTGACTTAAACTTAGCTGATAATAATGAAG